TGCTTCAAAGATTTGAACTTCCCGCGCCGAGCTCGAAACACTGAGGTGTAGTAATTAAATTTGCATAATGATATGTCCAGCCATTCTGCCCGATGGTATCGTACAACTTGGGTCCCACACTGGGAATGAGTAGGAAATGTGAGCTGAGTGATACAGATCACGTGGGATTTCCTGATCACGTGGTAGGGAAGGAAGGTGCCGAATATTGTCCTATTAGGGTTAGTACGATGAATCACTTTACGAAAGAAGCTGAACTTTGAACCTCTTTTCGTACGAGTGGGAAACGTACGATGGCGACTTACAGCACGTACATGGTACGACATTCCGTAACATTGAAATGGCTTCCCATAAGCAAGGTTATCGTATGAGTGGGAAACATAGGTTACTGACTTACAGTATGTACACGGTATGACAAGCCGCATCATTGAAATGGCTTCCCATAAGATAGGAAATTATAAACGGTACTTACAGTTACAACACTACACGGTACGACAAGCCGTAACATTGAGATAGCTTCACATATGAGCATGGTAATCGTAAGAGAAGAAAACATAGGCTGCTGAATTACAGCACATACACGGTATAACAAGCCGTAGCATCTAATTGGCTTCCCATTGTCTTCCAGTAATCCATCCAACCACAGCGCGTGGGTACGGTTAGGGTAAGATACGATACGGCTACAGCAAGGCTATGAAAGTCGTACGCGTTTATCACTCATACAAAAAACCGTTCTAACAAAAAGCGACAGTACGGCTGCCAATATATTTTTCCTCCGCTCTTCATTACGTCGATTGATTTAATATGAACCAAGTGTTTCCTTGTTTTAACTTCAGAGCCCGTGTTCTTCAAAGTCTTGTCCAGCCGACCTGATATGCAAACCCGACTTCTCATGGGATACTTTTCACTGTTCTTGTTACATATCCAAACCTCTTGGAATGGAAGATGGACGGATACCAGACTCAGTTATAACAGCAAGTAGTGTGTACTCGATTGGCCACGAGGCTTTTCAGGGGAGACTTAATTACGTCGCGCCGTCAAATCTATCTCATTATTCTTCCTCTTGCTGGAGTGCTAAAATCAATCAGGTGGGCGAGTACTTGCAGGTGGATCTTGGTGAGGTGTTATCATCACCATGGTAGCGACACAAGGAAGGGATTCTGGTGCTAATATTCTGCAATACGTAAAGAGTTATACTTTGAAATTTAGCCAAAACGCGACATCCTGGATTGAATATAAAGAGGACAGACGCATAAAGGTAGTTAAAATTCAAATAAATTATAATTCAAATTATAAATCTCTAATATATTTTCATTGAAGAGCATCATGCATGAGGAGTAATTGCTCAAGTCTTCTGAGACACAGGCTCATGTTTAAACTTTCGACGTCTGATCGTAGTCAAATTTGGAATTTAATTTTTGAGGTGAGAAAAAAACCCGACAGAAACCCTCTGAGAAAACCAAAAACGAACTCTACTACTCAAAGAGGATGACAAGTTCAGGAATAAAATCCAGTGACTCGATCCAGGGTAGTAATTAACCCCTCAGGAGTCACTAACGACTACAGAAGACAACTGTATGGTTTTCTTTCTTTCAGCATTTTCAAGGCAATTCAGATAGGACGACGGTTGTTATCCACAAGCTCGCCGTTTCCATTGAAGCGCGTTTCGTAAGGATCGTAGTTCAAACGTGGCTAGGACACATCTCACTAAGGATGGAGCTCTATGGCTGTAAGAGACCTGCTTTCATTTATTAAGGCCACTTAGTCAAAGGCCAAGATACAGCAACTTCGGGACTGGGACGAGTTCTATTTTTAGAAAACGACGTTGATGATCCCAGATACCTTTGCGGGATGAAGCTGTTCTCAGTCTTGAAGAAACTATGCCCAGTCCCCGAAGAAACTATGCCCAGTCCCCGAAGACACTATCCCCAGTCCCCGAAGACACTATACCCAGTCCCCGAAGAAACTATCCTCAGTCCCCGAAGACACTATCCCCAGTCCCCGAAGAAACTATCCTCAGTCCCCAAAGACAATATACCCAGTCCCCGAAAAAACTATGCCCAGTCCCCAAAGAAACTATGCCCAGTCCCCAAACAAACTATCCTCATTCCCCGAAGACAACATACCCAGTCCCCGAAGAAAATATACCCAGTCCCGAAAAAACTTTTCTTAGTTCTTTAAATAGCTCTAGAAGAAACTATAATTTACACCCTCCAAAGAAACTATCCCTGAGTCCTGTTAGAAGAAACTTTCACCGTAGTCCCCTTGTAGATACCTTCAAATAAACTCGTCTCAAGCTGAGCTCGCGTGGACTTCGAGTATTTTTCCCAGCTTGTGCAATGTTACTAAATTGAAAAAAAAAAAAAAAAAAAGATATTGCTCATCCAGATTTGATCACCAAGGCACCAAGAATCGTTTATATTCAGGATTAGAGTTAATTGATTTGCTTTGAACATTTCAGTTTAATTAGGTTCAACACCTACTTGGGTTATTTTAGATTTTTTTGCTCGCTTCCTTTCTAGGGCCCGATATTTCAAAGCCTTCATGATTAGTGCTAATCCTAGGTTAGCTCTAAATAATACCTACAGATGAACCTTAGACTAGCACTAATCGGGCTTTGAACCAGTGAGGTAAGAAAAATACACAGGAAACAAGGCCTGACCACCATGTTGGATGACCAAATCTCACATCCAGCATGGCGGGTATGACGTCACAATTACCACGCTCAATGTTCTTCATACATTCTATCTATATATACACCTACTTGCAAGAACGTTGTCATACGAAAATAGAACATTAGTGATTTAGTGGGATACGAATTATATTAAAAAACAAAAGAAGATCACTGAAGCTGAACTTCATCTTTTGTCTTTTAATGTATTCCTTGCTCCCTAAATCACTAATGTTCTATTATCGTATGACAACGTTCTTGCAAGTAGGTCTATATATATCACTGAAATACCTTAATATGATACCAGCACATTACGTTATATATTCAACTGTTAAAAACCAACATGGCTGCTGTAATGATCAATAAGAGAACAAACAATGGAAATCTATGAGCGATTTGTTAAATAACTATTGTTCTGGACTGACGAGTCGCGCTCAAGCATGTTCAGGCCTGGGTTATGCACCAATTCTCTATCAGACCATTAAAAAATAAATTCTTAGGTGTTTCTGTTTAAAGTATAACCAGCTTTCTCAAACTTTTATGCAAATTTATCCATTCAAAAAGTTAAGCACCCCAAATAAGGATACTGTTGCAATCGCATTCAACTACATCTAAAAATGAGTAATCTACGGTGAAAAGTAATTTTTGCCCTTTTGAACAAAATCCCAGGCCTTTATGCGTTTTGAGCGTTTATGTAAAAGCGTTTTTTACACATGTATGAGAGGCTAGTCAGTCCACAACAATAGTTCTCCAAATTGGTCGCCATACTTCGATTCTGCCGTCATGGAAAGCAACTCAGTTTTAGCACAAATTTGCAATCGAGAGACTAACCGTTTTTAGCAATAGATTTTCACAACCATGTTACACGCTTTAAATATAAGAAATTAAAATATGAATTCATTCTTGCACTTAACTAAAGAAATGATGTAACTTTTATTAACAATTATACGAATTTCAGAGTTAAAAAGAAAATATACACTTGTAGAATATTAAAATAATAAATGGAACAATCTAAATCGACAAAAAAGGCGTGAATAAAACCCTTCAGCTTGTGTAGTTTTTCAGACCTTGTGTCATTCTCTTGAGAATATGATTCTTTGTCTGAGTTGTATCCATAAATATATTTGTCTTCTCATGTGCAACCATTAAACAAAGAAATGATATGCTATGGAATGACACGGGTTGGAAATGGTAAACATTACGCCCAAGCCTGTCATTTTATTGAAGGTTTATTTAAACCTAGTGGGGACCACGAGTTGAATAAACTTGTAAGTAAACAAAGCAGGCAATTCGAGACCCATCAAATGCCCTTAAAGATATATCTTATCTTGTAAAACGTGGTGTAAATTATGAATGGTTTACTAAGCTTCGTGCATTCATCCATACGGGTGCTCTTAAATACTTGTGTAAAAGGAACGATCTTGAAAACTTGCGTTACTTATGGCCGGTTTACTGAGATTTGCAGCCATACAATTCCATTCTCAGTGAAATGTGAGTATGCCAAGTTTGAACTACAATCCTCACAAACTTTGCTTTAAAAGGAGTGAGTTTGTGTTTCACAATTGTGGTCCCATCTGAATTAGCTTCAAAAATCTGGGGGAGAAACGGAATAAAAGTGATGTAAGTATTTAGGCTACCAGGCAAACAGGCAAACAGGCAAACAGGCAAACAGGCAAACAGGCCAACAGGCCAACAGGCCAACAGGCCAACAGGCCAACAGGCCAACAGGCCAACAGGCCAACAGCCAAACAAGCAAACAGGCAAACAAGCAAACAGGCCAACAGGCCAACAGGCCAACAGGCCAACAGGCAAACAGGCAAACAAGCAAACAAGCAAACAGGCAAACAGGCAAACAAGCAAGCGTTTCTTAATAAATACTATTTCACCTTAGGTGTACTGGTTCCATCCTCCTCGTACTCCATCCAGTCCGTTCCATTCAGGCTATAACTTATGGTATAGCTCTTAACCCATTGCAAGTCTAGTGTTTTAGGTGGCCTTCCTTGCGTTGCTACTCCATCGACATTAAACTCCCCGTCCAAAAAAACTTGCAGATACTCGCCTGCCTTTAAAAGACTAGAGCTCCAACACCATGAGCTGAAGGTTGTTATTTCTGGCGGCTGTATATAGTTTAATCTGCCTTGATGTGGACCATGACCTAGTAGATCCCAGGAACTACTTGCTGTTATAGCTGAGTCTGGTATCCGTCCGTCTTCCATTCCAAGAAGTTTGGATATGTAACAAGAACAGCGAAAAGTATCCCATGAGAAGTCGGGTTTGCATATCAGGTCGGCTGGACAAGACTTTGAAGAACACGGGCTCTGAAGTTAAAACAAGGAAACACTTGGTTCATATTAAATCAATCGACGTAATGAAGAGCGGAGGAAAAATATATTGGCAGCCGTACTGTCGCTTTTTGTTAGAACGGTTTTTTGTATGAGTGATAAACGCGTACGACTTTCATAGCCTTGCTGCAGCCGTATCGTATCTTACCGTAACCGTACCCACGCGCTGTGGTTGGATGGATTACTGGAAGACAATGGGAAACCATTTCAATGCTACGGCATGTTTTACCGTGTATGTGCTGTAAGTCAGCAGCCTATGTTTTCTTCTCTTTCGAAATCCATGCTTATATGTGAAGCTATTTCAATGTTACGGCTTGTCGTACCGTGTACGTGTTGTAACTGTAAGTACTGTGTATAATTTCCTCTCATATGAGGCCATTCTAATGGGAAGCCATTTCAACGTTATGACATTTGGTAGCGTGTACGCGCTGTAAGTCAATACCGTTTGTTTCTCACTCAAACGAAAAGCGATTCAAAGTTCAAATGCTGGTTTTTTAAAGTAGTTTATCCCTACTTACCCTAATAGGGCAGTATTCGGCACCTTCCTTCCCTACCACGTGATCAGGAAATCCCACGTGATCTGTATCACTCAGCTCACATGTCCTACTCATTCCCCGTGTGGGACCCAAGTTGTACGATACGCATGCGTCATTCATAAAGCACTCGTGTTGACATTGTTCCAGGCCCGGGGAAAGCACGTTGGATGTGTGAATGGTGTGGTTGACTAAGGCCTCGTCTTTGATGCAATCTAGAAAAACCAGGTCTCTGCAGCCATCAGATGCTTTGAAAAAATATATTGAAATTAGGCCCCGTCTACATATATACGCTAGCCCTTCCGTCCACACGTAAACGATGAAGACGCTCACCGTAAACGCATACGTTTGAAAACGCCCTTCAAAGTGGATATACTTTTGCAAACGCCGTTTACAGATTTTCGTGTGGACGGCGTATTTTATGGATATAGATGGTGGGTGGAATAAACGGCGAGCAATAGACAAATTTGTGCTTTACAAAAATTCCTTTGTTATGTGAAGCTGCTAGTATTGTGAGGGACATGCAATACGACAATCAGAGCGACAACAGTGTGTACAGAATGCTCCCTGTATACGACCCGTGCTGTGTTACTTTTGCATATTTAATATTGAAATTATTAATATTTTATGTCACAAGAAATATAGATAAAAATAAACAAAGAAAGAAAGAAAAAAAATAGATACTTGGATAGATGTTTCAGATTAGTAAATAACGAAACATAATAACTGAAGCTAACGCGAGCCAGTCCTCCCCCGAACTTCGCAAATGATTAAAGTGCCTATGACCCCTAACTCAATTTTTTCAGCATTGATTCTACATGAAGTGAATAGTCGAATGGTGAAATATTTTTATATGATTGAGTGATGCATCTTGGAGATATCAAGGTTTATACTTCCTGTATGCTAATGAGTGTGATGTCATAGTAGGCAATTGGGTTTATTTGTCATCATTTTTAAATCAAAACACTGATTACTATGAGAAAACAAATTTACAATAACCTTTCTATAAACTCTGAGTAAGATAATTATGTTTTATACAGGATATTTTACTACCCCAGTAAATTTTCGTATATTTAATAATGCCTCCTATGACATCACATTCATTAGCATACTGGAAGTATAAACCTTGATATCTCCAAGATGCATCACTCAAATCATATAAGAATATTTCATCATTCGACTATTCACTTCATGTAGAATCAATGCTGAAAATATTGAGTTAGGGGTCGTGGGCACTTTAAAAAAATAAATTCCAAAAAATTCTGCGAATTCCCAACGAAGTAATTTTTGATAAAATTACGATTATCTATTTTCTTAACTTTAAAAGTCAAGAAAGGAGATAGAGGTTTTATATTTTGATTTGTTTGAATGAATACATTCTTTGGCTTACAGTACTTACCATTTACATATTGGACGCAGAAAAAGAGAAAAAGAAGAATGAATAATTTTCTACCATAGTTTGAATGATCGACTTGTCTTCGCAACATGGTCAGATTCCAGTTATTTTTTCGTTATTTTTCGTTGTCTAAGTGTTTTATTTTAGACCGAGGTCTCGGTTGTGATTAGAGAGCTTAAGCTCACTATTAGCACTATTTTCCCGTAGTTCTTGAATTTGTTTACAGTTTGTGATTGATGGAAAAATGTCTAACAGAGCAAATTAAAATTTTTGTACCAATGCATTCATGCTCATTCTTTCAACCTGGCTTTGTTTGAAATATTTCGCAGCATGAAAACCATTGTATTTCACAAAATGAAATTCTATCATTTTTAGTATCTTAATTAAGGATGTACTGAAATTTCTCGGAAACAACAAAATGAACGCACAGATTGAACCCTGAAACAACCTCTGAGCTGATAAAAGTTTCACAGACCAAATTTGAATTTAGCTAATAAACTAATAGTAATTAATTTTATTTGATTAAAAAGAAGATAATAATAATAAACAAACAAACAAGAAGAGTAGGTCCTGGGGTGAGTCAAGTCTTCCAAAGGCTTCTGGGATTGGCACCCGATCAAAGATGGCGGATTTTTTCCCCATCGCTTTTAAAATGAATAGAATTTATGGTAATGGTACAATTTGCTACCTTTACAAACAATTGATGTTTATAACTGCGTGGTCCTACGAGGTTGGCTTCCTGTAGAAGAGATGAAAACTGCAGAAAAACACCCCAAGCATATGAAGATGAACATTTACTAAACGAGGTGAGAGTTAGTGTTGTGTCTATTCAAAGCAGCTTTGCTAAAAGTTACAAGTATTTAGATATTATTTTGATGGTTTATAAATGAACTAATTTAGCTAGGGATGTAAGTATCTGGTTTATCAATAATATAATAGGATCCAGGTGGCTTAATCGCAATCTTTGTATGCAAATAAACTACCTTGTATAGCTAGATATAGTTTTGCATTAAATCTAATTTATCAATTGCTGGGTTTCAATCAGACGACTAATTTATCTGTTCCCTTATATGCTTTCAACCAAAATGAGTTGTTTTGAAAACTTGTGATTCAGATGGGGAAGGCCCGTCGCTAGGGGTAGTTCGGTTGCGAACGACCCCTCTTTCTCCAACTCTGTACCCGGTCTGTAGGAGTACGCAATAATGTTTATAGCTATTTTAGTTTTTCAAGAAATGGCGTAACTTTAAGCTTGGTAGAAAAACGAACCTCACCTTTGAAGGTCCTAGCGACGGGCCTGTGGTAAACATTCCGCACGAGACACGGAAGTGACATCAAGTAACGTCAAGTCACTCCAGCTTTTCATGGATCTTTCAATTACGTATCTTCAATCGTCATTCATTTTATTTTATTATTTACTCCGTGATATACAACACATCTTCAGTCGTTTCTTAAAGTTATTACCGTTTTGCCAATATTTATTTATTCAGATTGCCAATGAAGTTTTACGAGTATTAATGAGCCCATTGATAAGCGTTAAAGTAATCATTATGTAGACCTATGCAAAATGCTAGGGGACACAAGTGAAAAACGTCTGCGTATGCTCTGAATCCGTAAGCAAATTAGTCAAAACATATGTAAATTTGGCTTTCAAACATGCCTGATAAATTGGGCTTCACAAAATGCCAAAACTAATACAGTATCTTGGTCTGACAAAAGTATACTCTTTAGTATACTTGGAGGAAACAAACATTTATTTTCTCACTCAAACTCTTCAAAATTCTTAGAAAACGTGCTAAAATGCACGCATGCGCAAACGCTTTTCTCTAGTGTCATTAAAGGGTCTTAGACAGGGGTCTTAGGGCCCATGTGAATCCATTCCCTTTTACCATTGGGTATAAAAAACCTATAACGTTTGTTAGCGAGCAGAGAAGGAGATTCTGGCAATGCTGCAAATATATCTTCCTTTCCACTTGACGAATTCATTCGTAGCTGTCAAAAGAAATGATAATTTTTAGTTCAGAAAATGAAATAATGATTACAATGATATTGGACTTTCCGCGGTTGCGCGGTAAACTGCTAACGAGAAGGACGCGCCGGACTGGTTCTCGTGTTGAAAAAAACGACGTCCCCTAAAAGGTCCCGTGAATCAGCACACGTACTCGTTACCAGTTTCCCGGGCAACCTCGGACAGTCTAGTATGGAACACGGCAGGCATGTAGTAGAGCAAAGAATAAAAAATATATCATATCGGTAATGAAATATCTTGTCATACGAAAATATTGCACTGTTTGAGACAGCATTACTCTTCCATTTATTCGCATCCTCATTTATCTTATGCACTCACATTTTGGCAGGAGTCGCTGTTACCGTCACTGTTACTGTTGTTGTCTTGGTTGGCATTATCAGTGTTGTTGTTACAGTCTTAGTGACAGTCTTCGTTATGGTAACCGTTGTGGTAGCCGATGTTCCTGCTGCTGATGTTGGTTCTTGAAGCGATGGTGTCGGAGTTGCTGATGAGGTTGTTGCTTGCATCAGTTTTGTTGAAGTTGGTGTTGCCTGTACTTTTACTGATGCTGCTTTTGCTGTTGTAGATGATGACGCATATGGTGGTATTTCTTGTGTTGTTGTTGTTGATGATGATGAAGATGTAGGTGCATATGGTGGTATTTCTTGTGTTGT